GGTAATTCTGAAGGAATTTGTCAAGTGGGTAATTGTTATCATATTGGAATCGGTGTTGAGAAAGATGAGCATAATGCCTTATAATCATTCTTTTCAACTCCAAGTCCATTCCTATAACAATAGCCAACTTTATACATTCCATTAGCGCTTCCCATCTCGGCAGATTTTTGAAAATAAATAAATGCCATACGTTCATCTTTTGTAACTTCAATTCCAATTTGATAATAGACACCAACATTATATGTTCCGTCTGCATGTCCCATCTCAGCAGATTTTTGGAAATAAGTGAATGCTTTACGTTCATCCTTTTCAACTCCAATTCCTTGTGAGTAACAAATGCCAAGTCCAAACGTTCCTTCAGCATTCCCCATATCAGCAGAATTTTTGTAATTTATATAAGCTTTATGATCATCTTTTTTAACACCAATTCCGTTTTGAAAACATTTACCGACTTTTAATATTCCTTTAGGGATACCCATGGCGGCAGATTTTTGATAATAGATGAACGCTTTATTTTCGTCTTTTTCAGTTCCAATTCCATTTTCATAACAACAACCAAGTTCATAAGTTCCAAGCGCATGTCCTATTTTAGCTGATTCTTGAAAATAATTGAATGCCTTATATGCATCTTTATCAATTCCAATCCCTTCAAAATAGCTAATACCAACAAAATACATCCCGTCAGCATTACCCATGCCAGCAGATTTTTGATAATAAGTAAATGCCTTATGCTCATCCTTTTCAACTAAGTCTCCATATTTATAATAATGTCCAAGAGTACATATTGCACTAGCATTTTCTAACTCTGCTAATTCTTGATAGTATTCGAATCCCTTATTATTATCAACGAAGTTTGTTTCATCAGCAAGTTTTTGATAGATTTCATTGTTTTCAACCTTAATTACATTTGCTTTCGGAATTAGTAGGCCCTCACTATCCTGCTCATAACAATTTATATCATAATTCATTTTATCATGTTTGTGGAGGTATTCGTCACTTACAACTTTAATTGCGCTGACTTGCGAAATTAGTGAGTTTACATCATTCTTGTGGTCATATTGACTATCTTTAATTAAAAATATTATTAAAAAGTATATTGTTTAATAAAATAAGAATAAATAAAAATTCTTACTTATATAGCTATGCTGATCTGTGACATTTTTACTCGATAGAGAAATATGTCGCCTGCTACTGTAAATTGCATTAGGATGCATCTCAATGTGATTTGATGTGCCGGATTCTAAAAATTTTTGTAATATTTCATCAGCCTCTTTTATTTGTATAACGAATTCAGTCGACTTATTGTTTGAAATATCATCAATAAATATATTTATATTTTCATATATTTCTTTAGAGGTCAATCTTTTTTCTGGTCGAGCGTCCCAACAATTATTAATCAGTTCAGTAAGTAATTTTGGTATATATTTTGGGATGCTTGGGCGTAAGCCGCGAAAAATTTCGGACATCAACTTGTAGTCATGTGGAGTGTTATAATATGCCGGAAGTCCTGTTGCTATTTCATATGCAATGATGCCAAAAGAATAAACGTCAGATGCCATACTATATTTTCCATAGTATAATATTTCAGGTGCCATATATGGTATTATACCAATTATTTCGTTATTTGATTCTTTATTAACCAATGATGTAAGTCCTAAGTCTGTAATATATGCACTACTAAGGGTACTTAAAAGTATATTTCCACTATGTAAATCTTTATGTATAAAATTTTCGGAATGAATTATCTGAAGGTCAGAAGCAATACAACTCAATAAAGTTAATTTTTTTTCCCATTCCATTTGCGATATAAAATAAAAATTTTTACTCAAAGAACCCAATGACTCGTATTGCATTACAAGGATATATTCCTTGGAAATATTATGTTTTGATATGCCAAAACATTTTAGAAAAGTCATATTTTTGTGACCAATATCACAATAGGCTTTAAACTAATCATTTAAAAAATTTATTCAAAAAATTAACGTTAAAAAAAAAAATCTAAAAAATATGCTAAATATTAAAATCACCTCTTTCAAAAATTCTTCGTGACATTTGTTTGATCCATGAAGCAATTTAAGTGCAACATTTCTTAAAACATTATCATCTCTCCATTGAGCATAAAATACGGTTGAAAATCCACCTCTTCCTACTTCTTTAATCTCTTTAAATTCATCATAAGGAATCCATGAAAATTGGTATTTATTTTCGATCAACATTTGTCTTAAATCATCATCAATCTCAGAGTTTTTATGTGCCCATTCGTCTGTTGCTGCTAAAAATAAAGATAAAAAATAAAGATTAGAACTATTATTTGTGAACTTTATAAATCAATTGCAAATAGAATTACCCGATGCTCCAAATTTTACTTTTTCTGCCCTAATTATTATTTAAAGAAATAAAAAAATTAATCAATTAAATAAAGGATGCTTTAACAAGTGTAGCATAAATTTACTTACATCTGATACCAATAATTAGCTTCATGTAAATCTCTTGTTATTCCAATTCCATTTCGATAACAATTAGCAACGCTAGTCATTCCGGCAATACACTTCATTTCAGCAGATTTTTTATAATTAACAAATGCCATATGTTCATCCTTTTCAACACCGTTTCCAAATTTATAACAAGCACCAACATTGTGTATTCCATCAGGGTCTCCCATCTCTGCAGATTTTTGATAAAGAATAAATGCCTTGTGTTCATCCTTTTCTGTACCAATTCCAAGCTCATAACATGTTCCAAAACAAAGCATTCCGTGAGAGTTTCCCATATCGGCTGATTTTTGATAATGAATAAATGCATTATGCTCATCTTTCTCAACACCGATTCCAATATGATAACAATTACCCACTTGACAAATTCCTTCAGAATTACC